TGTGAGAATCCTTGTGCTACAAGCCGTGCCTTATATCTCACGATTTCATTATTCTCATTTCTCTTCTTCACAAAGACCCATTTGTGTCCTACTGGTTTTTACATCGAATGGTGTCCTTAAGGTCGGACCAAACTCATTCCTTTTCTTAATGATTCTTAGCTCCACGTTTTATGGTCTTGTACCATTTAATCAATCAAGTCTTTGAGTGCACTCTAGTATAGACGTGGGCTCCTGATCCTCATTTATATTCATAAATTCAAGTGCTACCTTGCATGCAAAATCATCTTATGTCGACATTTCTTATATGTTCCATTATGTTCCAGACATGATATAATCGATTTGAGATTTATTATGGTCAGGACCTTTAATACTTTGCAGCTTGGCGTCCCAAGCTACATTATATGGTACCTGTACCTTAGAGCCGGCCGGCCTTATCTCCATGTCTGGGATGGTTTCCTTAGTAACCTCGGATTCCTATTGCACCTTTCTTTGATTTTCGAGGATTTTTATCTTTGGAACCTATTGGTCTACCACGTTTCTTTCGTGTGTTAGACTCGGTAGCAATTTCATTGATTCGCTTTTGGATATCAATACGTACTGGTGCATTACAAGCTGGTATGTACGTTTTTGTAACTTTCTTTGGGTCAGCAAAGGAATCTGGCAATTGATTAGCTAGCTTTTCAAATGTATAATCTTATGGACCTCTGATTCTCATGCCAGAGTCCGAGGATCTTGCCAATTTAAGGATGTTTGATTTCATTATATTTCTTTTATTGCTTTACCCAGCTTGTTCGTCTCTCCACCTATAGTAGGAAACTCGGATTCATTAAAATGACAATCCGCGTATCTAGCCTTAAATAGATCACCCGTAGTTGGCTCTAGATACTTAATAATGGTGGGAGAATCAAATCCAACATATATTCCCATCCTCCTTTGAGGTCTCATCTTTGTTTCTATGTGGTGGAGCAATCGGTACATATATGGCACACCCGAAAGTCTTTAGATGGGATATGTCTGGCTCATGACCCATAAGTAATTGGGATGGTGAATATCTATGTTCACTAGATGGCCTTATGCGTATAAGTTCTGATGCATGTAAAACAGCGTGTCCCCAAGCGGCTACTGGGAGCTTCGACCTCATGAGTAATGGTCGAGCTATCAATTGAATTCGTTTAATGAAGGATTCCGCTAATCCATTCTGTGTATGTACATGTGCTACGGGATGTTCCACACTTACCCCCATGGACATACAGTAGTCATTAAACGCTTGAGACGTGAATTCACCGGCATTGTCTAGACGTATAGTCTTAAGCGGAAAATCTGGAAAGTGGGCTCGCAGTCTTATTATCTGGGCCAATAACCTAGCAAACACTTGGTTTCTAGTAGATAGGAGACAAACATGCGACCATCTTGTCGATGCATCAATGAGGACCATACATATGTCTCCTTGTATCCTTTCCAGAAATTTTAAGGTCTCTTTATTTACCTTAGCCGGTGATGGCCTTATAATGAGTTTCCCTTGTGAACATGCTTCACACGTGAGATTCTTAGGGATAACTCTTTTCTCTCTTAGGGTGTGCCCCTTTGAATTAGTTATTAGTTTACGCATCATACTATGACCCGGATGGCCAAGCCGGTCATGCCATAAAGTGAATTTCTTGATGAACTCTTTGTTCATTGCCATATTAGCTTCGATCATATCGATTTTAGCATAGTAGAGACCAGTGGATAATGCGGGTATAGTCTCTTAGGACTTTCTTATGTCCTTGGGTGATCTCAATTATATTTAGGAATTCTTTGTTCCCTTCACCCTTTGTTTCAATATGGAAACCATTCAATCTTATATTTTTGAAACTTGACAAGCTCCTCTTCGAGCTGGGTGAATATAGGGCATCGCTTATTTCAAGATGCGTGCCCTTTGATAAAAGTATATGGGCATGACCATGGCCCTCAATAAGACTAGCTATACCCGCTATGGTGCTAATATTGGCATTTTTCATTATGAGATTTAGGAAAATATCTCTTATCTTTTGTGTGGCTCCACTATCCACCACAATTATGTTCTTGTCCTCGGCCATTTCTTATATGGACAAGAATCATGTTCTAAACATAAAATAATATAAAATAAATTCAAGCAAATAACAATCAATGAACACATAAAATGCAAAGAAAAACATAGAGGTTTTGATGTCGAAGTAAGATTTATCAACTTGATTCTTTTATGCAATCAGAAGTTTCATACTCTATTAGATCATCTTGATCATGTTCACCATCTTTATATACCAAATGGGCTTTAGGATTCTTCCCTTTTACACTCTCTTGATAGAGGTCACAACGATGTTTGGAAGTCCTACATATCTTAGCCCAATGGTTTCCCATTCCATATCTATGGTATACTCATTTGGTCGAGTGTTGTGGTTTGGAAATACCACATCGTCCTCGCCCTCGACCACGGCCGGAATTGGGTCTACATCCACGGTTATAGTGGTTCCCATGGCCGGATGAGTTATAGTGGCCACAACCACGTCCTTTCAATACCACATCTATGGTATACTCATTTGGTCGAGTGTTGTGGTTTGGAAATACCACATCGTCCTCGCCCTCGACCACGGCCGGAATTGGGTCTACATCCACGGTTATAGTGGTTCCCATGGCCGGATGAGTTATAGTGGCCACAACCACGTCCTTTCAATACCACATCTATGGCATACTCATTTGGTCGAGTGTTGTAGTTTGGAAATACCACATCGTCCTCGCCCTCGACCACGGCCGGAATTGGGTCTACATCCACGGTTATAGTGGTTCCCACGGCCGGATGAGTTATAGTGGCCACAACCACGTCCTTTCCATCCACCACGGTCACGGCCGTGTGGTCTATCACTTTAGACGTGGTTAGATTCTTTGGATTCTTTCTTATCCTCTGCGGCCTTATTGGCATTAGGTAATGGGGTTAATCTATGAGGTCGTAACTCACTGTTTTTATCTGTAAGTCATTATTTTTTTTTTTTTATTTTTTTTTTTCATCTAGCAATAGACTCATCCACGGACTTATAGTCCTGGATTATGAGACTCTCAATAAGATGGTGGCTAATATTGTCTTGTATCTATCTTTCTCTCTTGGCATTCTTGCCTTATTAGATACATTCACCAAGTCCTTTTGACTTTAGGATAATCTTAGTATCCATTGCCCATTTTAAAATAATTATCTCCTAAGAAATTTAGGGCAGTAAAGTACAAGTTGTAATTCAACATCTACAAGGAAAAGTTTTGAGTCAAAATCATGTAATCGTTAGTGTCATGCGGTATTTTAGACCGAACCATGAATCGATTTACTTAGGGATTTGACTTTCCTCTTTTGCTTAGGATTAGATTTCCTCTTTTTATTAGGATTAACTTTTCCTTTTCCTTTTTAGGATTTACTTTCCTCTTTACTTTAGGATTAATTTTCCTATTTCACTTATGATTTTAGATTTTAAGATTTCCTATTTTAATTAGGATTTGGAAATTTTCTATTTCTTAAAGTTTTCCTATCTTGAATAGGATTTATGAATTTCCTAATTTAATTAGGATTTAGAGTACAATAGGATTTAGGATTTTATTTAAGTTTTCATGCTTTCTATTAGAATTTTAAAGTTTCCTATTTTATTGAGGATTTTAAGATTCCCTATTTAGGATTTAGGGTTGTTAAGATTTCCTATTATCTAGGGTTTCCTATTTTATTTAGGATTTTAAGGTTTCCTAGATTTTAGGGTTTCCTATTTTATTTAGGATTTTAGGTTTTAGGGTTTTGAGATTTCTTTTAGGATTATCTTTTCTAAGTTTTCTAGGGTTCATGCAATTTTAGTTTTAGGGTGTTAAGCATGTAATCAATCAAAGGAGCAAACAATCTAACAACCTAAACAATCTCAATCAAGCCGATTTAAACTTATGGAATTTTTTGGATTAGATTCGTTTTAGGTTTTAGGTTTTTAGACCTTTAAAGTTTCGGTTATTAGCTTATGTATTTTCGTTTTGCGATTTTAGGTTTAGACAATTAAAACTTCTCTAGCAACTTAGGCGAGTTTAGCTTAAGCGATAATCAACTTTTTCTAGCAACCTAAACGAGTCAAACAATCGAGCAAACAAGCAATCGGATCAAACAAGCAATCAAATCATACAAGCAAAGCAATCACTTAATCAATCATCATTCGTTTTAGGGTTTCTCTTTGCTTAACTTTCAAGTTCAATTGTTGGTTCTTTAGCTTTAGGGTTTTGATGTTACCTTTCACCTTATGGGGTTGTATGGACTAGAACCGGGAGCTAAAGACCTCGGTAACTCACGCTGCTGCAACGAACCGCAAACAGTACCACGATGAACAGTACCACGATGAACAGTGTCGCGATGAACAGTACCCGCGATGAACAGTACCCGCGATGAACAGTACGGCGATGAACAGTACGGCGATGAACAGTACCGAGATGAACAGTGTCGGCGATGAACAGTGCCGCGATTTTTAGGGTTAGGGTTTTAGGGTTTTCGTTAAGAGCAAGTCGTGCTGATAACGTGTTGTAAACTGTGTTGTTCTATTGATTAATGAATGAGATTTCGATACATATATATACATGATGAGGGGAGACAAATCCCCATTGGGCTAGTAAACCCTAAAGCCCAAAAGCCCACTAAGTACAATATAGGCCGTCATAAGGAGAATCTTCAAGAACATGGGCATGGGCCTTCTAGGACATGGACATGGGCCTTCTAGAATATGCATAAGGTCCACGGTTATGGAGTCCATCCAACATGTGGTTTATAACATTTATTTCTTTTTCAAATTGATTGAAATAGAATAAAAGAGGTAGAAGATCCGTAACTTGTTGATTTTGGGTGGTTGACCCGAAATAATAGTGGTTGGGTCGGTAAATATAGTTTTGTTTTAAGGGTTAGGATGTATTTTCTCTCTATTTCGATTTAAATGAAAAGAAAAAATAAATGGATTTTATAACAGAGGCATAAGAGAAAAGCTTTTTAGATAGAAAGGCACAGGAGAATAAGATCCTGAACTCTTTCAGATAAAAAAAAAAATGAAAAAAGAAGAACGCTTCAGAGGACTCGCGAGTTTGTTTCAATTTGTGAAATCTAAAATTTCGAGATCTCATATGATCCTTCCATGGCTTTGCGTCTCCGTTTCCGTTGAATTGATCATCTCTCGATACTGGAGTTCAGATCCAAAGATGAAAACCATGTCTAAACTCGATTCGTGGTAAAATTTCTTTCTCGAAACTTCTTCTTTTGTAATCGATCGTTCGAGGTCGATTAGGTTAGTGTTGTGAATTCCTTCTGAGAGTTTTGTTATCTTTCTAGTTGAATTGTTCGATTTTAGCAAGGATTTTCAATTTCCTTTTAAGGATTTGATGATTCGCAGATAATTGATAGGCTGTGTTTGCGAAGAGGCCTCTCAATTTCAGAAAGCTTTAAGGTAATTTTGATTAGACTTCCATTATTGTCTTCGTTGTTCTCTCTCTCTATCAGTTTTTAAGAAGTTATGGCAGTAATCAATATTTGATTACTGATTTGCGATGAATAAAAGAATGCAATTTGTTCTGAAAGTTATGGTAGCAGTCAAATGTATGATTAGAGTTTGGAAATTAGAATGATTTTTTAATAAATTTTAGATTTGGTTCTTTGAAGAAATTGGTCTTGGATAATATATGGATGAAGCTCAATCATATTTGTATATACAGGTTTGAACATGTTAGAAACAAGTTCTCAAACTCTGCGTCTTCTTGAACTGGACTTTACACAAGACAAGTCACTTGACATTTGTGATTAAAAGGGTATTTCTTCTATACGCTCAGATTCTTTGACCAACGTTCAATCCCTAGAAGCTGTTAACACTGTAAGTCTAGAAGCTTAAAGGAGGAATGAGATATTATACAATGTATGCTCCATTTAGTTGGAAGGAGACTCTGGTTTTATAGGAAGGTGATCGCATAGAAAATGGTAGGAAATGCTCCATTTGTTACTTTCTACTCTTTTTTTTTTGTTGCTCTAGTGTTGTTAGTATTGATCTGGTATTTCATTTTTAACCTTGCGGAGCTGCAAGCCTGCAAGTCAATCACAACAATCATTGATCTAGGTACGGATCATGTGTCCATGTCTTCCATATTTTTTGCATCCTTTTATACTGTCTTAATGGCTTCCATATTTTTATATCCTTGTATGCTGGCTTAATGTTCTGATTTTCTTCTTTTGCAGCCTGCCTGGCTATGGTGATGTAGAGGTATGTGTCTTACATTATAGTAACTCTATGCGTTTTTCTTCTTTACTATGGTCTTCAGCTTATAGGTTGCATAAATACTAGTTTTGTTTGGTATTCAGCTTATACACTGCATTTGTGTCACTAGCTTTTCAAGTATTCTTGGAATTTATAAGCCATGAATTGGGAATAATCTGCAGGATAGTTCAACCTCTTTCGTAAGAGTGCTCGAATGGAATATGAATTACTTTATGATTTCGTTGTCTGAAGCCTCTTCTTCATCCATAGTTTTTGAACTTTCTCTTATTAGATCATGACAGAAGAAAACAAAGAAAGACAGTGGCTAATGTTGGGTATGTAGGATGCAGGATGCATGTATAGAAAGGATTTGTTAAATATCATATCAATGCCCTCGGGTTTCAGTGACGAGTCACATGAGGAGTCACCGGCGGATGTGGAAAGCTGCAACGAAATGGAGAGAGACAACAGAGCAAACATTGATAATATATGCTACTGATGTTATTAGAGAGTATAGGTTTCCTTGACAGTAGTAAACATCTCTTGTATTTTGTTATAACTTATAAGATTGTGTCCTTGTTATTAGATTTCTCTGTAGAGACATATCATGTTTGAATATCTGAATTTTATATGGATTAACTTTTTGGATTTTTTTTTTTTTTTTTTTTTTGATGGCAAAATAAATTCATTCATTTAAGCTAGAAACGGGCGGTTTTCTACGGAAGAAAACCAGTCCGGAGTTGAGGAGCTTACATGGGAAAAAATAGAATCACGTGCCCTTGCCTTCTTAGCGAGACAATCAGCACGGACATTGTTTAAACGTGGAATAAAATCTAAGAAAAAATGAGGGAAACCAAGTTTTAAAGCATTGAAATCTTCTAACTCCAAAGTAAAAGCGGGTCACTCATCCGGAGTGTCCAATAGCTGAGTCAGTTCTTTGCAATCTGTCTCAAAGGCGACATTAAAGATAGATAATGATGTGAGGGATCTCATTGCCCAGAGAAGCGCTTCAAACTCTGGATTAAGAGAGTTTTTTTTATATATTTTCATGTATTAACATAAATCAATTGGAAATTAATAAAATAAATGATCATTGCGCACATACGTGCGTCGGTTGCATGAGTGACGCATATTAAAGTCACTATAAACTGACGTTAAATTTATGAAAACCGGCACAAATATTCTGACGTTAAACCAAATGTCGGTTCAATAACCGAAGTTATTAATTTTAGCGTCGGGCGTTGAGAAGTCGGTTTCTAAACCGACGCCAATATATTAGGGTCATTTGACAACCGACGTTAACCATAATTATAACCGTCGTTAGAAGCCTGATTTTTTGTAGTGAATTTTGTCCAATGACATCGTCAAATCTATCTATAATATTTTTGTCCTATTCTTTTTGCTCTTCAGTGCTCTGTTATTTTTTTCTATTTTATATAGATATTCTAAATTACTCTTGTTGATAACTTGATATAGTATTACATATTTACATTGTGTAAGTGTAACACTATACAAAAAGGAACCATATGTTCTCGAGCTTTTTGGGGGTTAGTTTCTGTTATGTTAAGATATATTAATTTCATTTACAGTGCAAGGTTTTGGTTTTTGTATAAAGTTACACAGTGAGTCATTAACTAATGAAAAAGAAAATGCAACGTAACGAAGTATTCTCATTCCAGACTTTCGAGTGCATGATTATACAGTAAAACCTCTATAAATTAATAATGTTGGGACCAGAAAATTTTATTAATTTAAAGAGATATTAATTTATCGATAAATTAATAATTATTAATTTATAGAGAGATTTTCCTAATTTGGTAATTTCTTAAAAAAATCTATCTAAAAATAAAATTTTTCTTTACAAACAATATCTTTTTAAAACCAATTGCAAGTAGAGAAGCAATTATTAAATTTAAAAAACAATACAAACTTTTTTCGAATAATAGAATCATATTTCATTAAATTTTTTACATATAATATCTTAAATATATATCATACTAATTCATATATGACATATATAAATTTATATCATATATATATAAAGTTAAATATATATATATATATATTTAAGTTTATATAATTATTAATTTATAATATAGATGGGACCATATGTTTACATGGTATATTCAAAAAAATTATTATCTTATTAATTTATCGATTTATGTCATATTTTACACTGGTTCCAACTCGGGACCTGAAGAATTTATTAATTTAGAGAGGTTATTAATTTATAGAGTATTAATTTATAGAGGTTTTACTGTAGGTGATACTTGTATAGTATCATTAGTAATTTTTTAATATTATTTATAATATTTGTTTATTGTTTGAGATTTTTTATGATATTCTTTCTAAATATGTTTGCATTGGTGAGTCCAGTTTAAGTATTATATAAAAAAAAATTTGCAAAATCAAAAATTAATATATCAAAACATAGGATTACAAAAGGTAATATTACAATTAAAAAAAAAATTCTCTCCTTTCCCACAAAAACGCGTTTTCCCGACTAATCCCGAGCCGCCACGTCATCAGAGACTGGTATCACAAGTATATACTGCTCAGGCCCAAATCAGGGGTTGACTCTGATGTACTACCCCAACTATACCGTTTCTTCGGTATACATCCTAAACTTTTTGTCTTTTTTTTATACACCATCAATAAATTTTTTCTCTATTAAACATCACAAACTATACTTTCTCTTCTAATTGCAACATAGCGATTCTAAATTGTGATTAGATTTACTGAACCGGTAATCGCGATTAAAAAACTATAATTAGCTTAAGTGAATCCAAAATCTACAATTTTTTTTTGCTATAAAAAAAAGAGAAGAAAGCCCCAAAAAACCCATAATTAAAACCCATCTTCTTCTTTTACGTAACAAAAATCCCAAATCTTAGGGTTTCTCAACTTCATCACGAGAATAACTCATTTCTCTCTTCCTCTCAATTTCTCTGGTAAGGTCTTCTCTCTCTCTGGTTTCATAGCTTCTCTCTTGGTGGTTTCGTAGGCTTAGTTTTTTTTTTTCAGTTACGTAATCTACGAAAGAAACATGGATGAGATACAACCCGACATTGATATGGAAGATGTTTATAACAATGGTAGTGAGGAAAACGAAGATGAGAACAAAAAACAAAAAAAAAAACAAAAAGGAAGGCAAGAAAAAAGAAAAACGAGGGTAAAGCCGAAGATGATGAGGATGAAATGGACCGGTTTCAGTTTGACGGCAAAAAGGGATAAATAAATTGTAGTTTTTGAGTTTAGTTAAGCTAATCTTGGTTTTTGAAACGTAATTACCGGTTTAATAAATCTAATCACAATTTAGAATCGTTATGTTGTAATTAGAAGAGAAAGTATAGTTTGTGATGTTTAATAGAGAAATAAATTGTTTATGGTGTATAAAAAGAGATAAAAAAGTTTAGGGTGTACACCAAAAAAACGGTATAGTTGAGGTAGTGTATCAGAGTCAACCCCCAAATCAGTTGTTTTACCTATTAATTTAATATTTTTGGGCTTCTGATACCCATAAAAAATCTGCTATGTACATGGTTTTAAGAGAATCTCCCTTTGAATATGGCGGTCACTTTCATATTTTGTTAACCACTTATTTTATCTGGAATTAACATAAAAAAATAATGAAAAACAAGACAAAAGATTTTTCGAAAGCGGAATACACTCTCTTGTGACACAGATTGGACTTGGATCGAGAATAACAAGAAACCCAACAAAATATTATTGAGCTGCTTTGTACATCTAGTGGTTGTTGCATAATGCATATCATCATCTCCTTTTCGTTTTATTTGCTTTTTGTCATTTGTTTCTATTTATCATATATTTATTTATGTCTCAAATAAAAACATTGTCGTATCGATGTCTTGAGCAAGTCATTTATAGTTGACAAACATTCATATTCTTATAGCGACTCTGTATCCATCGTTTGTTATAACAAAAATCTTGAATTTTACCTATGAAATATTGAAATTGTTTATCTATCAATCCACAAAAATTAATGATGGAACTTTGAAAAAAATATTTTGTTTTCAAAGCATGCAATCGACTTGTGGAGTTGACAGGTTACTTGATAAAAATAGAACATGCAAAATACCAATACGTAACTTTTATTTTATCGCATGGTATAAACCGTCTAACAATAAAAATATAATATTTTTATTTCCATAATGCCATTGCTTACATTAATTAACCACAAAATAAACCCAAACCAAATTGATAAAATACACACAATTGGAAAAAAAAAAGAGAGAGAGAGGAGAAAATACACACAAATCACACAAGATCACCTTACTAAAGTGTACCGAAATCAAACCGAAGTCGATAAGTCTTACTTTAGCAATTTTTTGTTTTATTATTATATTATCATATCAAATAAACCAAACCAAACCGAAATGCTTCGGTTTCTTGGCAAAAACCGTTTTATTCTTTTGTCTTTTTATCATATTTACTTGTGAAGCAAGTAAGAGGCTTCTTCCTGAATAACCTTCCACGCCTCCTTCACGTGCTTCTCCTCCGTCAATGGCGCTCCTATTGCGCAACGCAGTACGATTTTCCCCGACAAAGCCTGTTTCCACGCAAATTCAATACATTATCCAGCAAGAAGAACAACAAGAAGAAGGAAGAGAAGTCACTTACAGTGTGAGAAATGAAGAGTTTCCCGGAAGAGTTCACTGCGTCTAGGAGTTCACGGTTTCGGTTATTACACTTCTTTTCTTCGTTTTTCACAGGCACGAGGCGGAAACAGACAAGAGAAAAGATCCGAGGTGTGACAATCTGCATGCAAACAAGACTAATCACTTATTCACCCTTCTTAGAAGAATCTTTATCCAGAATGATCGATTTGAGGTTTTTACAGTTACCTCGAAGTTAGGATCTTGAGAGACAAGTTGTTCGAATTCTTTAGCCAGTTTGATATGGTTTCTTATATAGCTCTTCAAGGTCTCAGATCCATAGAGCCTCAAAACCATCCATAGTTTCAATGATCTGTCAACAAACAAAAACAAAACTCAGATTGTATTTATGCATTTGTTTATACTAAATCTTAAATTTAATTTTCTGTGAAAGCAAAGAACCTGAATCTTCGTCCGAGAGGGATTTGCCAATCTTTGTAATCAACAACCAAGTTTGCCTGAGAGGCCTGGCCAAACAAAATGTAGATAGTAAGACTAGCAATCTAATAGATCCAAAGAAGAAAGAAAGATTGTTGTTTGTCTGTGAAGAACAAAATCTTTCTTACCTTGTTTTTGAGAAACTCTGGATTTGTTGAAAGAGCTAATGTAAGAGAATCTTGATCCTGTTTTTCAAGTGTTAATCCTTTTTAAAATACGTGAGGAGAGAAAGAAAAAGAGAAATAAGACTAAAATGGGCTAATACCTTAACCCAAAGAAGGGAACAATCGAAATTAGTGAGGAACCATTTGTGAGCATTCATGTTAAAAGAGTCTGCAGTTTCTACACCGTCAATGTATTGTCGATACTCTGGACATATACAAGCACTTCCAGCGTACGCTGCATCCACGTGAAACCACATCTCATTTCTCTGTGAAATATAGCAAGAGAAATAGCATCAGTTTTAATGCCTTAAGGTCTCTATGAAGATTGTGGGAAATGTGAAATATAACAAACGTTAGCGATCTTTCCCAGTGCAGCTAATGGATCAACTGCGGTTGAAGAAGTGGTTCCAACCTGGAAAGTAACAATGATTTTTTCAGAAAACATGCTTCAGGATGCAAGTAATTATTAACAGGCTAGAGCTTACATTAGCACATAAGAAGAATGGAATCAATCCAGCGTCAAGATCCTGAGAAACAGCTTCTTGAAGCAATTCTGGACGCAGAGCATAATTTGTAGAAGAATCGGTTTTCAGCACCCTGCAATTCTCTGGATGGATTCCAGCAATCTGTCAACAAAACAAACCAGAAGAAAATTAAATTAGCAACGTTTTACAATTTTTCTCTGATTCAAAATCTGCAATTCTCACCTGGCAGGCCTTCTGTAAAGCGGAATGGGTCTGGTCAGAGGAGTAGACAACAAGCTTCTGAAGCGCGTTTTTGCCAACGCTTCTTAAAACCTTGTCACGGGCAGCAATGAGAACAACAAGAACAGCTTCACTAGCTGACCCTTGTATAACTCCACCTCCATTTCCTACAGTAAAACATAAACCCACACTTAAGTCTTAAGCAAAAAAGATTTATGCTTTAAAGTGATTACCTTTGGACATAAACTGCTCGGGTAGGTTGAGCAGTTTGGCAAGCCAATCAAGAACAATCATTTCTAGCTCGGTAGCAGCTGGAGAAGTAACCCAACTAAAACCAACAATACCAAGACCAGCACTCAACATCTCCCCCAAGAACCCAGCAACACTGCTGTTAGAAGGATAATAAGCAAAGAAACTCGGGCTTTGCCAATGCGTTACTCCAGGCAATATCTTCGCTCGAACATCTGCAAAACAAACTCACATCATATCGAGTTCATGGTTTCATAAACAGGCTTAGTTAGTATCTATGTTCATCAGAAATGCTCCAAAACTAGAAAATGGGTATTCACCATCAAGAACTTGGTCTAGAGTTTCAGGGTGGTCTGGTGCGGAATCAGGCAAAAGCTTATGAAGATAACCAGGCTGCATCAAACAAGTAAATTCAACATTGTCACTAAACCAGAGAGATTTTAACACACAAGATTATAAAAAAAACTTGTTACTCCAAGTACTGCATCAAGCAAGTAAAGTCAACATTGTAGCTACTCCCAAGTACAAACAACTAGAATAACCAATTTGGTTCTAACCTAATAACGTTAGCAAACAAAAAAAAACTGCAAATTTGACAGAAATTAGGCCTTCACAACATCTCGGAGCTATAAATTTTGAAACTTTAACAAGCCCAACTTTCACAATCCAAGTTCTATGTAAAACCCATATACCATTTAACCAAATTGAAAAGAGGAAACAAGAAAAAGACCTGAACTTGGCTAAGAACAGGGAAGTCTTCGATGGTTTTGTAATAATCAGCAATGAAATCAACCATTCGATGTCCGTATTCTCTCAATTGCTCTGAGTCCATCGGCTTCAACACCTTCCCACTTCCATTTTCCCTGAAGAGAAAAAACACAAAAACTCAGACGATTTTCAATTGAAAATTTGACAGAAAATGGGAATTTCGAATTCTTCAGTGACTTGCATTTTGTTTATGCTTGCGTCAATTTGAATTGATGTTTATGTCTCAGAAGCTCTCTCTCTGAATGATTTGGGTTTCAGTGGGAGTGGATATCTCTTATTTATAGGGGCCCTGATTTTTTTAAACAAATTTTTAGTCAATTTTATACATATTTTTAATTATATACTATAAAATAATGAATTAAATACCCTCCAGGTACAGTATATTGTATATTTGTATCCACCCAATTCGTTTATCAATAACTATAGAACTTATTGGTTCTCCAAAAGTCTTTGCCTGCGGTTGTTGTTTAAAATCTATCATAGAAAACGCTTTATACTGTTTCAAATTACTTGCAATCGTTAAGTCATATATATTTTCACGTTAAATCTCAAACACTAATCGTTTATAATAATACTTAATATGCCTTAAACCACAAGTCAACAATCGTCCGCTTCTGCATATTCTCACAATCGTATACGTTGCGTTTAAATCTGTCAACCCTTATTAATCAGTCAAATACATCAATTAATAATTAACAAATTGAATAAAATGTAATGAGAAAATGTTTAACAAATTGAATCAAATGAGAAAATGTTTTGTGTGAGACGTGGAAATTGAGATTTTAGAGAGAGATTATTCATCCTTTTCTCATGTTCTAAACTTTATATTATTAACTATGACTCAGTCAACTATCACATTTAAGAGTTTCGCAATGAATCAATAAAATGGTTCGATCCAGTCACAGAAAGCTAGTTTTGAGAAAGATCATCACATTGTTTCCAGTGAACAATGTGAAAAAATTGAGTTTTGAGAAAAATTGATCAAGGGTCAAAAAAATTTCTTCAAGGATCCTTACATTGTTCAAGTAAACGAGGGTGATAGCCACTAGGAAACATATCAATAAAAGTTGTGTCATTCACATGTTTCATGCAGTGCAGGCCCAGTTGAAAGTGAGGTCCAATACAAAACTAAAATTTTTAATGGGTTTTATCAATAAAAGTTAAAATTTGAGACCAAATCTTAAAACATCAGAAAAATGAGGCCTATTTTTGCAATTAAAAATAGATAAAATTTAAAATTTGACACAGAATCTTAACATTTCGGAAATCTGAGGCCTATTTATATAATATCAAATTATTTTGAGGCCTAATACTGTTACTAA